TTTCTCAACTCCGAGAAATTCACCCGCGCGCCTGAAAAATCGAAAAAACGAAATCTTTCGACTTGCCCTTCCTGGCTCCACGTCCCCCTGCCCTGGGACGCCCTTGAGGCGACCCAGGCTCAAGCAGTGGGCTCTTGCGGTACAAGTTAACGTAGGGAAGTAAAAATGAATTCGACGGAGCTATATCTGCCAACTGAGCGAGTCCGTCGTTCAGATAGACTCTGGCAGTTCGTGCGGCGGCCCACCGCCCTTGCACTAGCAATTTATCGAACGAACCGTGGTGTCCAAACCAAAACGTCGCGCCACCTCGACGCAGACTGTAAGGTCTGAAGTGAAGGTCATCCAAACGCAGTGCAGCAATGGCTTTGGTGAAGAGTGCCCTCCAAGCATGTGGCTTTACAGTTAAAAATTTTGAGGCGGCAACGGATTGCTTCCACTTCCAGAGTGATGGGAGGATGGAGCGTTCGTGCAACGTAACGCTTTCTGCTGCGCCCTGGCGGGCTCCTCCCTTTGTAAGGCCAAGTGAAAGCACCGCTGGCCCGGTGGGTCCGGGGATGAATATGTCCTTTGCCCTGAGACTCAGTAGTTCTCCTGTTCGAAGTAAACCGTAAAAAGCGATTCGGAGAGAGAGACCAAATTCAGGACACCCATGAAACACTGACCAGCCGCATAGGGCATCTAAAATTTGGACAGTCATGGGGGGAGCCCGGTTGGGAATTTCTACGGTGCTCCACGCTTTCAACAATCTCCAACTTCCAGGGAGTTTCTTCTTCAGAGAAGGGTCACGGTCTTGGAGTGCAGCTAGAGTATTATTTGCAACTGACTTGCCCTCGCCAGAGGCCCATAGGTGCTCCAGGTAGTCACTAACCAAGGAATCGAGGCGCACTTGCTGCTTTGGGAGGGACAGCCCCTCCCCTGCCATCCAGTCAAAAAAGCGGTTGAGACATTCTGTGTAGCGTTGTCGAGTGCGAGGCTGCACGGTAAGGCCTTTGAGAGAACCTAGCTTACTTCGGACCTTCTTTCGCTCCTGTTGGCTTCTTCCTTCCATCACTTTCGTGGTTTTCTTCCCCATTTTTTCCGTAGTGGTCGGCGCGAGGGCCGATCTGCGGGGTTCTGGTGGGTATCCACGTAACCCCAGACTCCTACCAAACCACCTGCCAACTGAAGCGCTCCGATCCGACACAAAGTCCTCCTCAACCTCCTGCTTGACGACCTACCTCGAGACAACGCGTGCAGAACAACCAAGGAATCAATCAAATGCAAGAAACGACAGGAGCTCTCTTCGAGTTCCTTCAGCCGCCACACCAGCGCCGTCTTGACAGCACGCAACTCAAGAGCGTTGATGCGTTCGACCTCTCCTGTCCATCGCCACCCTGCAATATCCTTCCAGCGCCACAATTTGCTCGGGATCGAGGCCCGCAAACGATGGTATCGAGCCGGAAGATCACTCCCCAGCTGCAACAGAATGTCTTCGCCTTTGACTGAGACCTGCCCAAGCAAACGCTTTACCAAGCCTTCTTGCCGTTGTCCTGTTTTTGTAGTTTGCCTCAAAGGTGGTCTCAACAACAAACTGGATAAGTAACTTTCTCGTCCTGGTGTCAACCTCTCGACCAAGTTTGCCAAGCTCAACGGCGGCAACATGCCCAAGGTCCTAAACAGAGAAAACAGCAAATACGCCACCACTGGAATTGACCAACTGTTTCCTAAGAGCGAGAGTCGGCAGTCATTGTGCTGGGCGCTGCCTTCCAAGCTCTTCACCATGCAACGCCTGGTGTAACCCAACGGAAAACCAAGGATCACCTCTCTTTCGCTGATTGAAGGCACACGCACGTGTTCTTGGCGATTGATGAGGCAGTTTTCAACCCGATACTGGTACGGTGGGAACCTGTGCAAATCAGCCTTCCACCGGGCTACCGCATCGGCGGGACAAAGGGCTAAGCCTGCAGGTCTACGTCCCGGCGCGACGGAGGGACGGGAGGTGGTGAACGTTGGGAACGACTTGTCGGGCTTCACACGCTTCCAACCGGGTTCCAAAAAATCCTGTTCATCAAGGGCAACCAGCAACTCAACCTTTCCCTTGACTGGGAGGTTCTCCTCTCTCCCTTCAACAATTGTGGCTCCTTCCACGCTCAATGGCTCCCAAGTGCACCAATACAACCGCGGCCGGCGGGCAAGGCTGACTCCTCCTGCGTCAATGCTCCATGGGGCCTCCCCATAGGCCTTGGACATCGCCATGCAGTCCTGAGTATCCATCGATGCCACATTCTCAATCAAACGGTGAACTACCTTCCCTGTGACTTTTCATTGACTCCTCCTCTCTTGGCTCTTCTCTCTTCCTCTCTTTGCTTCCTCTGCCTGCATTCTCCACCTCAGCTCCTCTCTTCAATTTTCGTCCTTGCTTTTTCTTCCCCATTTCCCTTTATCTCTATTCTTCCCTTTCTCTCCTCCTTTCTGCTTGTAAGAGGGATCTGACGTGGGTGCAGGCTTTCCTTTTCCTTTGGGCTGTTGATCTCCTTCTCCTCTCTGAGCCATACCGTGAGGTCGATTGCCAATGGAACGATTTCGAAATTCGTCCCTGGCGCTCCTGGCTGCTTCCACCTGTTCGGCAGGTTCTGCGATTCGGACGTGCTCGGCGTTCACCAACTCCAGCTGACGCGAAACCGAATAATGTCCGCCACGGAGGGTCGCCTCTAGCGACTTCGCTCGTTGAACGAGCACATCGAGCGCATTCGCCACCTTCCGGCGCAGCAGCAAGTCTGTGACCTGAGCGACAGTCAGCATCTCCTGCCAAAGCACCGGACTGGCAAGAGACTGCAAGTGCTGGTGCGCGTACATGCTGAAGAGCGGGCTCAACTGATCACGAGACACGCTATGCAACTCACCCCGCGAGGACAAGAGGTGTTCCCGCACATTGTCAATCGCCTGGGCGGTCAAGGCACCGGGGCACCTTTCGCTCAGCCTTCGCACCCGCCGGGTTTCATCGAAGAGCGGGCCATCCTCCTCCGACCCCTTCTCTGTGCCACTGGAAGACGAAGACGAGGAACCCGAATCGGTAGACTCTGACCTCTTTCTCTTCTTGTCCTTCTTCTTGCTTACCCTCCGGGCCTTCTTCATGAGCCTCCTCCGCCGGGGTACATTGGGATCCAGACAGGTGTTGCTGAACAAGGCCCGAGCGGTTTTCTGGCCTCGCTCAAGCTCCTCTTCCTCCTCCTTCTTCACCAGCAATTCCTCATACTCTTTCTCCGCTGTTCTCTCCTTTTTCTTCTTCTTCTTCTCCTTTGAACCTGAGGCTCTTGCCGGCGACTTGCTTCTGTCCTTCTCCTTCTCTGGCTTGGGAGGCTTGTCTCCTCCCCTCCCCTTTCCTCGTTCCTCAGCCAGTTTGCGAAGCCCAGCTAGCTCATCGATCTCACCCTCCTCAGTGCCTTTGGTGGGAAGCAAGTTGGTGTGCCAAGGCTTGGGAGCCACGCTAGTGTCCCAATACCCCCTGGCGTGGAAGTAGGCATCACCAGTGGTCAGCTGGGGGCACCCAACTGAACATGCATGCACCTTCACGGTCCGTGAGCCACTGCCACCAAACCTTTCTAGGATCTTGTCCGTGAGAGTCCCGCTCAACTCAAACTCTACCTCCTCCTCTGATGGCCTGATGCTCCGAATCCGCCCTGCCACCTTAGCATGCGCTCCATAGTATGAAGTCTCTCCCAACTCCACGATCTCCAGCCCTTTCATCTGATCCATCGTCAACGAAGCCAAAGAGTGATACTCTTCTGTCACAGGTTTTTCCTCCTCTCTCTCCTCATCAGCTGCTGCACGAGCTGGCCTCCTCATTCGCCCCACTCGCGACGGCGCTGCTGCCGGTCTTCGAAGTTTGGGAGCCATGACTCCCTTTACCACCTGCCTCGATAGTTCTTCCGGTCGTAGAGCTCTTGCTTGGCGCGCTTGGTCACACCCTTGTTGGTCCCTTCACTCCACCTAGGGTGATTTGAGTAAGGAACTGGGCCTCGCCACCCACTGCCTGGCAGCTTGTCCCGACCTGCGGCCGGCGGGATCAAAGACTCACGAGGTGGTGGATGATCAGGAGTACGAGGTGACCTAGGTGCTCTCTGACTTGGCCGTGGACGAAGAAAGGGCTCCCTCTCGATTCCACTGCTAGTCTTCACCGAAATCCCTTCTCCTCTGCTCTCAACTGCTTTGGGAGAATGATCCTCCCGTTTCTTTCGCCTCGTTCTCGATCCGCTCACTGACCTGGACTTGCTATCACGCTTCCTCCTCTTGTCCTTTTCCCTCTGCCTCTGGGGCGTACGGCTCCTTGCTCTCTTCTGCTCCTCCTCACCTTTTTCCTTGGCAGTCCTTTACTTCCTTCACTCCTTGCTGATTCGACAGGTTCTTTCTTTTCTTCCTTCTCCCTGACCTTCTTCTTGTCAGACTCCTCCTTCACGCTCTCTTCTCTCCTCTCGACCTCCTTCTGGGGCTCTGACTCGCCTCCTGCTTTGGGAGAGGCCTCTCCCTTGGTTCGATCCTCTGCCACTCTTTTTCTGGGGGCACTTGCTCCCTTTCTTGGACTCTCCTCGTCGGGCACCAGGCGCGTGATGGAGTAGAACGCCGAGTCCAAGATCTTTGTAACCTTGGCGGAGGCCTCGAGAGTAGCAGGAAGCCAGTCAGCCGCGATCACTGCCGAGATCCTCCTCTGAGACTGACACACCGGACAGTCGTCACCAAGCAGCTGCCACTTCCGACAGCTGCCACACACGGGCATCAAAAGCTTCGAGCCCAATGCTACGTGGAAAGCAATACTGATTCGTGTTTAGTTATGGGGGCATTTAACCATACACATACATCCCGCATATGAATCTGATGATGAAAAGGTGTTTACCATCCATGCCCCTTGATCCATGCCTTGATCCATAGCTCTAAGCGTCCTTTGCCATCAAGTCGGACTGCCAAATTCTCATTGAGCATGACATGATCGCCAACCAATCCACAAGCCAGGTCTGGCCCTTGCAGAAGCGATAGAGCTTTCTTGATAATGTTTGGATTGAAAAACAGCCGGAGACCCAAAAAAACACTGTCGCTGATGTGGTGCAAAACTAGAAAGCTGACCATACAGCCAAACAGGTCGCTTTGCAGTGTGCACTTGTGGAACCGCGCTTGTATCATCCTCTTTGCTCGGTTCTTGCTAGCCAGGAATGGTTTGCACGGTAATTGTTCTTCTTGGTTCTCACATTCCTCTGGTCACAGATCAATCGGAGGATGAACATGACGAAGAGAGCACGGACTTGCAGGAGCACTGACCTCTGCGCCTTCCATGGAATGCTGATGTGGGACATTGCACATCTTGCGTGGCCAAATGCAACCCGCTACTTGGAAGTGTTCTAACAGAAAGAAGGTGCAATCTTGGTTCATTCTTGAAAATGGTGCTGTGGAACACGAGGCAAACCAGGTCTCCTATCCTGAGCCTACAGTTCTTTTTGTCGCTCATTCAAGTCCTTGATTCAGTGGGTTTCAAAAAGCAATTGCCTTTTGCTCAAAGAGGCCTCGGCTTGCAATTCATTTCGCTTATCCACCTTGGATTCGGTGAGTCAGAACGCGTCGCGTTCGTGCAGGGACCCCTGTTCCAAGCTCCGAATTGCAGTCCAGGTCCCAAGTGCTTGGAACTGTCTGTGTTCGACCTCTTTCGACCGAACAGACTCCTTGGACCGTGTGACTCGCTGGACCCTTTGAGTGGAAGGCGAGGGAGAGGCGAGGGAGAGGCGAGGGAGGCGCAGAGTCTCACGCTGAGAAGAAGGAGGCAGAAGAAATGTTACATGACTTTTACCATCCATGTCTGGCGAAGGTTTTATGATACCAGACTCTTGGGCCCAATGTCCAGGTCTGGTGGACATGGATTTCTGTAAGGCTTGGTCAAAAAACCTGCTTGGTGGCCATTGCTTGGGGCTGCGAGCGGCTCCTCCGGTCCCACTGGTCGCACCAAACCGCTCGGTCCCACCGCTCTCCTCGGCGTCTTGCCGCAGGTGTGCCACGGAGGCGCTGCCGGAGGACCTGGGAGAGGACGGAAGAAGAAGAAGAAGAAGACTCAATATTTGTTTTATAGATTCGTCTCTTATAGGATTTGTAAACTTACAACAAAAAGAATCACATCGAAGATTCAAAAAAAGAAGTGCAGAGTCCAGGCTGCGGTGCCCCCCAAAACACAAAATGAGTCTGGTTGGAACACCAAGATATTCATGACAGATCATGCCAACTGGAGTTCAAGAGTCTTCTCGATGTGTCCAACGTCCCTGTACAAAACCTGGGTGCTCATAGGCCCTCAGTTGTGGCACTTCGGGTCCAGAAAGCATCTGTGAAAGAACAGAGCAGGGCACCGCTTGGGAGATCCCTTGTTTTGGCAGGCGCATCCCCCCACAACGGCACTGCACCTCCACACCCAGCACCCTCGACACACCCTTCTCCTGCACTGTCCAGCACATGTTCGATGCCGCAATCCCGACACACTGGTCCATCGATTCTTCAGTTCTTTCGTCTATTTGAGGAGAGTGATTTGACACACTGAGCCTTAAAGACCTGGTGCCATCGACAGGATCTGTCCTCGGTCCACCGACTTGGTCTCGTCACCTGACTTCGGACGGTCTTTCCCCTCCGTGTGTCGATGGACTCGGGTGAACCACCCCACCCCCGTCACACTCGGATGGCTCGGATGGTTTGGGTCCGGAGACACCAACTCCGCCGAGCCACCAGCCGAAGCCGCGATAGTCCAGCAAGCACATCTGCAACCGGGCAAAATAAATTGACTAAACCAATACAAAGCAAGGGACTCACACAACAAGTGTGTTCAAGTGAATAATAATGAGATTGACCTGTTTTTTTTTTCAGTTTCCAAGGCGGCTTGTTGTTACTGTCCTGCTGACATTATTCGGGACGCCGTTGCATTTATTGGTTTCACTGTACAGTCTATGTCGAAGTAGTAGCTGATAGAGCAGTCCACTCTCTCATGGAAAGGGCACGGATGGAATTCTTTCTTCCAACCTGGCCAGGCCCCGGTCCGGTTGACCCCCAAGGTGTGGGTCAAGGTCTTGCCTTCGCTCCTTCCTCGTCGACACATGACCGGTTGACCGGTGAGGTATACTAGAAGGTGGCGCTAGTCAGCCTCACCAGGATTCTAGCCGGCATGAAATCAATGGGTCTTGACATGTATAACAAGTTGATTTCACTCAGGATCTTCAGACAGAACCAAATTGAACCAACGACACGCACAAATGACCTAACTGCACCAGCTCCCAACTGTCGCACCTCTGCCAGGCCGCCAGACACGAGAGCTTTCAACTCAGACCTGCAGTCGTACCCGTGGAGCCAGCGGAGCCGGGCACCGTCCCATCGGCACTAACTAAGGTCTCAGAGAAAAGCACCTTCGCTACTACTACTACTCCTCCTCCTCCTCCTCCTCCTCCTACTACTACTACTACCACTACCACTACCACCACCACCACTACTACGACTACTACTACTACTACTACTACTACTACTACTACTACTGCGACTTCTTCTTCTTCTTCTTCCTCTTCTTCTTCTTCGAACTCTTCTTCTTCGAACTAGTCTTACTCTTCTTCTTTTCTTCTTCTTCTTCTTCTTTTTCTTCTTCTTCTTCGAACTCTTCTTCTTCGAACTCTTTGTGGCCTCCAAGCACAAGAAGTCATGGGTGTTCCTTGTTTTTGCCATGGTTCTGTGAAATGCATGATGCCACTTGACCCTAACTGATGTCTATAGCTCAATGCTTTCTTGAATTGATTCTTTAAAAAAATCTGCAAGTGGCCTCTTGTATGCTTCCAACCAGCTCGTACCCCGTACCGCTGACTCCAGGCACCCGCGCTGGGCGGTCAAGGCCGCCACTTCCGCGTTGCCTCCGAAGCGCAGCACCAAGGGGCTTCGTGGGTCCTGAAGCGACGGAAGCGGCGGAGTCTCTGGAGCCGCTGAGACGAGACGGATGAAGGGGTGACCGAGACGAAGGGGTCCCGGGGTGGGGCCAAAGGCATGGAGGCCACTGAAATAACGTCAAGCCAGAAGTCATGCCAGAAATAGGATCACTCTGGAATGAAAACCATGTGTGGCAATGCTTCTATTTCCGCATTGCTGAGGCTTCGGCCGTGCGTCAGTCCGTGATCAGTCCGATTGAATTCACAGTGAACAAAACATAACAAAACGACACAGATTAACACAGTATATTACATAGGTGAACGGTGGCGGGAGCGCCAGAAAGTGAATATGGTGACTGTAGCCCAGAAAAGGTGCTCACGTTCGCGGGCTCATCTTGGAATGTCCTCTGTCGGTTCTTCAACGAAGCATCCTCGGTCACTTCGACCAGCGAACACTTCGGCTTCCGTGTCATGGGACGTCCGGCTCTTAGGGCTGCCAAGACTGCGGCGAAGGGGGTGAAGGGAGCGTCGGATTTGAAATGGTGTGTATGTTCCTGACGTTCCCGGGCCGGGATGTTTGACTATCCCAAGGGTTTGTTCTCCTCCAAAAGCCCAAACAAAGCCCCCTTCAACGTGCTGAGCTGGTGCCGCCCGACAGCCAAAGTGGGTGGGTCTCTTGAGGACCAAAGTGTACGAGATGCTGCGAGTCTGGGATGATGGTCACCAAGGATGTGCTACCCTGAAGGAGATAAATGGGCCAATGAGTATGGGATGGTCTTGCACTCACCAAACAACTGCAATCCGCCAATGCCCAAAGCGTTGGATCCAAACATTTCACTGTTCGATTTACAGATTTACTTGGTGTCAGTGGAGGAGTCAATCCTCTATGCCATACATGACTGCGGAAAAGTCGACCCAGAAACAAAGCCTGCGTCACAAACTGCTCACAGGTCCCACATTGTCCCACCATCCCGTCCTTCAACAGCAGAACCTGAGTCGGCCAAAAAATACATGGGGAAGCAAACGTCAAGCATAAACAAATATCACGAGGAAAGTCAAACCATTTTTGCTACACCATATCATGATCAGGTGTAGCTCTGTGTATATAGCTCATTCTTTGACATCCTGATTGATCGAGGGTGTTCCATGTGGCAAGATTTCGGAGTTTGACTGAAGACTCAGAACCGGTGGGTGATATACAGTTAATATTATGTTATATCTCTATATTGCTACGTATGATGTATGTACAATATCTTGCTTCATAACCCCCCTCATTTGGATCCATTTGGATTGAAATATGTAACCAGAGTCTGCATCAGTGATGGCAACGGATTCAATCCATTCCACCGATCCCTGACAGCTGAGACTCGAGCATAGCTCAATTGCGCTTTCGAGCGAAGCTCCAAAGTGCCGCACAGCAGCTTGCCCTTCTGCTCCGCCACAGCCTGTGATGAACCAAACTTCCACAAACATCCTGTGATGGACCCAGAACTGGAACAAATGATAGTACATTCCACACCAACTTGCGATCGGTCCGTCCTCGCCCCTTGAGGTCCTTCCACATAGGTGGGGTACCCAAGGGTTTGTATGTAAAGAAAAGACCCTATGTGACAAAACATGCAAAGCCACCAAGTGAAGAACCGGATTAAGACGCGGTCAGGTCACACGGTGAATTACAAGTTCATGGTTTCAAGATGTCATGAGTCGAGAGAAATGGTATCGAGAGCTTTCTTGCTGCGAAGACATTTCTTGACCTTTTGGTATAATTTCTGACTTTCTGAGAATGGAATCGGCGAAAATGGAACATCGCAAGGGATCTCGTTGTGCGTGATCAGAGACATTTCAAGACGAACATTAAGCGGATAGGGTTGGTGTGCCAAGGATGACTAATGCGAGAGAGTTTCCATCAGCATGTGGGCCATTGGGACTTCGGGTCGAGCCGAGATCCCACCTACCAGACGGGAATGGACACCCAAACGGACCAGTGACGAGGCCCCTGTTTTTTATACATTCCAAAACAAATTCCAAATCACATTCCCCCAAGCATCCCAAAACACCTTCCAGAAACTAAACAAGCGGTAATAAAGGAGTCCTTTTAGGCATAAACCTTCCAGCTCGGGGTGCGAGAAGATTCGGACCTAAGGAGTCGATGTCCACCGTCGATTCCAGACTGTCCCAGGTCCCGGCACTGGTCCCGGGCGGGACGGGAGGTTGGTTCGGTGCCTTGTCCGTCCAACCCGGGTTGAACCGTGCGCGCTTCGACGCGCCTGTGGCAGTCTGCGGGGGACGAAGGCCACAGAGCGTTCGGCCTCAGTCGATTGAGCCGGGTCTGAGCTTCTTCGCTTCCGGTGGACTCTACAGAGCCAACTGCAGCGCTTGGACCTGGTTTCTGTGGGTGAGAAGAAACCTGAAGAAACTGCAGCGCTTGGACCAGCCAGCGTTTCTGGACGCCCAGTCCGTCCAGTCCGTCCAGTCTCGCCCAGTCTGTCACACGTGACCCCAAAGGCGGCAAAAGAGAAAGAGCTGATGCTGGGTCCTGGCATGTCCTGGCCAGGACCCAGTTCTTCCAGAGTAGAGCGCTTGGGCCCCAAGTAGATGATGGTTTTTACCTGGACCCCCATCTGTCTAGGAGTCTAGGACATCTTGGGGTCTGTGCCATCTACTCTGAAACCACAGTTGTATATAAGCCCTGTCTCCTGACCCTCACCAGAGTCTACTTGGAGGAGTCTGTGAGTGTCGTTGAAGGATCATGTAACGTCGAAAAAGGCTTGCTGAAGCCACTTGTTAGATGTAAACTCGCCCGCCGGGTGGCCAATGGTTAAAAAAAACAAGATGGAACATGATGAGGAAGGGTTGCGGTGTCACGTAGGAAACACAATGTCGTGAAAGACACGTCGTAAGGCGGGTACTCCTGTGTGACCCCGAACAAAGTCATACAACCCAAGAAGTGTGGGGTGTCACAAACATCTCCACCTCTGCGGCAATGCAAGTAAAAGCCCTGAAGAAACCCAGGTTCTGACAATCCGACAAGGAAACGCCCCAAACACCTCCCCTTTCCTAGACAAGAACCTCTCCCTCTCCCTCTGACCCACGCTCCCAACACTCGCAGCAAGGAAACCCCGGAACTCACTGCATCTCCCCCAACCTCTTCCGTTTCGCGCTCCGCCCGAGCGACGGCGCCCGGGAGCTCCGCCAGCAGCTGCGTCAGCGCGGCACCCAGCGCTTCGGCGTGACTGGCGCCGTCGTCCTCACGGGCGACCACCGCTGCGGCTGTGGAGCCGCCAGGGGGGGGCAGGAGTCTCGAGAGGAGGCTCGAGGAGCTGTGGTGATGCGGTTGGGTGAGGAGTGAGAGGCACTGGTGAACGCTGGTGTCTGAGGTTGAAAAGAATCCGGTCGGCCCGCTGATCCATGCTTCGTATCCATGTCCTGAACCGCGACTCTCAGGTGGTTCCTCTGGGTGGGCCAAGAAGAGCCCTCGCACTCCAGTCGCCAGCTGTTAGAGAGAAGTCACATCGGTGGAGAATGGCACGAAACGACGTGTGTTGGTTGATTGGATGGAATTGGATGGTGGTGGTTTGGTTCGGTACCTCAGAACTCGAGCGGCTCAAGAGAATGCTGTTCTATCCCCGCCGGCTGTTGCCACCTGGAACCCTGGTCCACCATGTAGCTTGTGACCTCCCAGCTAGCTCAACTAAGGTATCCACAGCAATATAAACCACCACTTGGGAGTTCTTGATGCCTTGGAGCCTTTGATGAGACGACCGATTCCGGGACTCCTGTTCTACTCGTCTTGGCCAAGGGAACCGCCTCGACCGAGGGAACCGCCTCGCAGGACCCTGGCAAAGCCCGTCAGGACGAGACTCGTCAGGACTCGCCTGGCTCAGTCGTCCCAAGTGGTGGTTTATATTGCTGTGGATACCTTAGTTGACCTAGCTGGGAGGTCATTTCCATGATAGGATTCAAGTTCCCACAGGATTCCCACGCGTTCCGATATCGTGGTCTTAAAATGTCAAACGTGCATCCCCAACCACGGGGCTGTACTCCTCGAGTAGCTGCTTGGCCATGGCCAGATCGCCCAGCCAAATGCGGAGCGTAACCTGATTAAGTTGAGAAAACAACGAAAAACACAGCTGTTTGCCTAGAAGGTTGTGTCTTGTCTTTGGTATGACAAGTTTCTTCTTGGGTACTTTCCTTGTTCGGTCAAAGAATTGTGTTCTCATGAGGGTGAACTTATCTCTAATATGTTCTCATCCCCTAAAAGACTCTGGGAGAGAGATAGAGAGGGAGAGTGTGTGTGTGTGTGATTGCCTTGCCAAACGAGCATTGAAGACTGGATCCCAATGTCAGAGTCTCTGAGTAATAAAGCAAAGAAACAGCGTGCTGAGTCTGGCTGGTGATTCGTAAGGAATGAGGGTGGCTGGATCCATAAGGTATCTATAGTGAGGGGCCAGCCACCTTCATGTCCTACTACTTGATACTCTTGGCTTTAACAATATTCAATATGTAAACAAACAACAGGTTGTGAAACCTTCTTAGTTAAACATGGTTTATTTACATCAAGCGTGTGATCCAATCAGCACCGTCCTCAGCTTTTCTCCAATCCTCGCCTCAGCTTGCGGCCCAGCTCTCAGCTGGCCACGGCCCATCGATTCTACTCGTTTGGCCAGGCTAGCCAGGTCCAGCACCCCCATTGCCACCACCCGGACGGCCGGGGGCCAGCGGGTGAACCAAAGGCGGGGCTTGAGAAGAGGTTGGCCATGGAGAAGAGGTGCAAGTCTGAGAAACCAGCTATTTGTGAGCTTTATGTCAGTGTGTGGAATTCCTCCCCCGAAACCAGCTGTGTTGGGTCTGGCCTGTGGATGAGCTGACCTCACCAAGGCATGTAATCCAGTTTAGAGGATACCATCCACAATGGTTGGTTAAGGAAGAAATCGACCTCCACACCTGGCTGACCTGGCAGGGACGTTGCCCCTTGGCTTGCCAGGTGTGGGGACTGCCGTTTTTCTGCCGGGGCCGTGGGGACTTGGGGTCGGAGCTGTTCCCAGATCGATGGCTTCGGGCTTCCAGAAGTCTGTCCCAAGAAACTGGGCAACCAACTCAACTGTTTCAGAACCAAGAAGCAGCAAAAAAACACAAAAATCAGACCATACGACTAGTAGTTTCCATCTACAAGCTACAGTAATTGCTTTAGTTGAAACACTGCCGGCATTCTTCAGATACGTAGGTTTGGCACTGGGGTGCAGAACACCGCTGCACCACATCATAAAATATGCCATCTAACTTGAGCCGAAGCAAACAGAATGACCATCCATAAAAAGGACTGAACAGCATCAAGAGTTCCCCTGGTAAAAATGGTTCATCTGCAATTCTGCGGTCCGACTGTCGCGCGCAAAAAGAAGCGTGTTGTAATCAAATCATCATCTGACTGGCTCATCGACGCCACAGTCGCCGAGTGGCGCCAACAGCACCCACAGCAGCGCGCACGCTTTTGGCCCCCATTTCCAGCATGTCTCGCCAGAATCGATGGTGAAGACCTCCCAACATGCCAATGTCTCGTCAATGGAAAGCATGTATACCTTTCACATACTGGCCCCTGTGCTTTTGGGATTGCAGTTTGCCTCATGTTTCTTTCACTCAATGCAAGTTTTGCCAACAGTCCAGGAAAATATTCCTGTCTCAAAAGGGGCGAGCTGAGTGTCTCTTCCCAGCTTTTTGACACGCTACTGGAGCTCCAAAGAGCTCTACTGAGACACTATTTCTGACCACAGGATCCATGACTACCCCTGGCAAGGGGCCCTCATCACGTGGCGCCCTCATCACCCTATTCATGCGAAGTCGGCTCCAAACTGGCAGCGGCAGGACTAAGCATGGTCAGCATCAGAAGAGACGTCACATGACAATGAGAAGAATGATACCCATCCCAGGAGTGTGGCATAGTCGAGGCCGTGCAGCTTCTCGGGTTGTGTGGTCAGTCCAAGACATGACAAAAAAGGGGAAGACCATCTCATCTGAAATCCCGGTGTGTTGAAGAACTAATTACCTGCTTTGGGTGCTTTAGATCTAGTGCCGAACCTGTCGCCGGCGCAGCCTTACAACTTCCAGAGCTGCCATGCGACCGATCCTAACACTGTCTAGTTCCTCCACAACCTGCAAGTGGCCTCCTTCCGTTCACATCTGAAACACTAAAAACTCGGGGAAATCAAGGATAAAGATGGATGAAGCCGATAGAGAGGGGAACACCTGGCATGGGCTTTTCAGCGAAATACCAACCAAGACCTAAAAACATGTGTTTTGTGAACAAAGATGTCCATCTGTCACGGATGTAGCATCCCATGGCATGTGGTTCTTGGCCGAAAGCTGTTGAAGGACCCAAGGCACAGGGTTCATCATCCTGCACTTCTAGGCAAATTAGCCGCAGGTACCAAAGCTTCCGAGGCATTTTCAGGCATTTTCCAGAATGGCAAGGCGACGTTCGCCCGAAGCGTTCCAACCAGACTGGCCCAGAGCAAGGGCTGGCGTCTGTTCCTGTCCACTCCAATTGCTTGATTGAAGTTTGTGAAGGGCTTCACTAAAGTGACAACATGTTAAACTGCGACGTCCTAACATGGAAGTGGATGGCATGGCACCTTGGACCAGTGTCCAAATACCAAACAGGTGGGTGTTCACTCCAGCTTGTGATGTGTCCGGAGGGCACACGAGTCCTCGCCCGGACGGAAACCGGTCAGAGACTGGTGTCGACCAGCCAGGTCGAAGCGACAACAGCAGGACTTCGGGTACAAGGCCGGTTCAAGCAAAGCTTGCTTCAGAACATGAGGAGCTCCTGGTGAACTTGTAATTCCTCATGCCGTTGGAATAGGAAAGATGGAACCATGGGACCCGCCATAAAAGAGCTTGGGAGGGAGGTCGTGAATGGGGAGAATCTGGCACAGGTTGAATACGACTATAGACTATAAAGGGATCATCCAAGCCTCGTTCGGGTCAGTTGAAGGTCAATGACAACTCACTAGTTCTGACTCTTTTCCTCTCAGGATCCTGCTGTCAGTCCAACCGAACCATACAGGTGCTTTCTTTAGAGGTGTCCAGTCTTGTGTGTGCATGACAGTTCATCCTTCCAAAGCCGCAAGCACACAGGACTTCCGACCAAATGTTAAAGCCTGCTGAAAAATACATCTACCAATACAGGTTGAGAGGCCTTGTATGACTACTGGGTCTATCAGGCCTCTGTAGCGTCTGTAGGAATATGGTCGCACTTGCCGAATTTCGCGTAGTAAAAACCAACGGCAACAAACGGCATTGTGTAAGCGGCTCAGTTTGGTGAAAAGCAGATTCACCAAACTGCACTTGACTTGAACTCGTGTGAGTTCAGATGATGCAATCAATTGAGTCAGTGGCTGTGCATGAAGCATGTCAACTCTTCGGCCGAAAGCCGATTCAGCGAAAGAAGTATATGCAGCTGGAAGCAGATGATCAATCCGACTGACAGTTTCAATAAACTGACCACAGTACATGGAGCCCAAGCCAACAAGTGATCTTGCACACAAGCAGTTGGTATTCAACTTGCGATGATCAAGCCATACTTGAAGCCTCCATGTGCACTGATACGCCTGCATCTTGCGAAATGGAACATGAAGCATAGGTCCACCCATAGAGTGTGCAAGAAGCCGGCATCAGTTTGCAGGGTGTGTGGCAAGGATCAAAGGATATTCTCTCAGTAGGTGCTGAAGAGGTCAGAACATTGTTCTCCTTCGGGCGTGACTCAGGGACGCCCAAGTGTTCGTCTTCTTTTTTGCCCAAAGGTGACTGGGGTGGTACACAAGGTGACTGGCCTGTTTCCACTGCTCGCTCCACTACTCGCTCCGCTTCCTAGAGAAGCCTAAGTGAGTGACAGTGGCCTCGGCGGGCCCTCCAAGTGGACGTTTGTGAGAGTCGGTCCTTGAGTAATATCAAGGCACAAGGCCCAAAGGAAGAGGTACAAGACTCACGCTTCCGACGGCGTCACCACTTGGCTTCGGACCACGCACCTCGTGCACCTCTTGACCATGGGCGTCACATGCTGCATGGCTCCAACCTGACCTGTGCGCCGTCGACAAGCTTCGGATCGCTGGTCGAGTTGAGCGCCACCAATCGCTCGCGGGGGCCACGGGGCTTGGACTGCGGGCCACCTGCCACGCAGCATCCCAAGTAAGCTTCGGAGTACGACCGATGTTTGGACTGCCCAGCGCTGGCTTAGAGGCCTCAACACTTGGGCCAGATGATCTAAACCTCCAAGCGCGTTTCAGCCACTGGCTTCGGAGCCCCATCTTCACATGCATAGGTCCACCGGTGAAGCTGGGAGGTGAAGCAAACCTTGAGCTCTGCATAGATTGCCGGATGAAAACTTAAGAACTGACTGTTGACTCTAGCCTGGTTCAGAAACGGACTTCTTTGCCGCTGTTTGCTTTAAAGGTTGTTTGATTGATTGATCTATCCGAATCTATCCCGAACCAGCCCAGAAACAACACCCAGAAGCCAGAAACCCCTTTTTTTCTGCTACCTTAAGATCCTTAAGCTGTTGTTTGCAAACAGGCACGTCGGAAGAACTCATATCTGTGCGACTGAATTCTAAAAAACGCTCTGTGCCGCAACAGCATGGTGTGAGCATTTGAGGCTTGATCGACCGGCCAGGATCCGTCGCCCTGTTCGGCTCCGCGCGGAAATGAGAATGTTCGCCACATGCGGCGGGAGGCCAAAGCAAATGGTTCAATGATTTGTACAACGTATTTGCCATGCTACAAAGTGCGTGGCATCGTATCCTGCTTCTAGAGCGAGAGCAACAAAAAACCCCTCATCGTCTCCCACGGTGTTTGATCTGCAAGATTCACTCGCTACAAAGGCCAAATCGAGGCATTCACACTAGTTTACAACCCCAGCACAATGTGCTATTGAACCCTTTTGACCGGATGGTATTATCAAAAAAAGGACCTCTTTGGGGGATCTGATTCGACCGGTCTCATCGGGTAGCCATGGCAGGTCCCTGGGTGTCCCAAGCGTTTGAAACATCTGGGTTGGAGGCAAGTAAGACCCAAATGACCACAAGCCAAGCAAAAGAGTCTATCTGAACCCCCCACCAGTCGTCACTAGGCAGTGCCCTCGTGCGACGTGCGCCTCATGTGCTTCAGCGCCAGCATTTTGCTTCTACTTTGAATCCCTAGGCCTCCAAGTACCTTCTGAGAAGGTGTTTGGGATGGGTTTGGAGGGTCTAAATACCTTCTGAGGAGCTACTTGGAGGTGTAGGGAAAGAAAATCATTAACATGCATTGACTCATTGACCACAATCCTTCCAAGAATGATTAACCTCCGAGGTGCAACGTCCATACCTTGCATCCTGCGAGAAGGTCGCAACAGCATCTCAATATCTTGGATGAGGAGAGCTTCGTCTTCTACTCTAGATGGTCAATTGCATCAAAAGCACACTGCATGCCTGAAGATGAGCCCAGCAAACACTGAAGCAAAGACTGGGTGTTCTCACAACTGAATATTCTGACTACATCCAAAGGCGCCGTGCGTTTTGCTTCTAAGCGTTGAGCACCCCACAGCTTCTGATGTGGACTGGACCTCATGTCTGGCTCACTGGATTCCAAACGTGCAGCTTTGTTGTCAATATCTTTGCTGTGAAAATGGATGTGCCGCAGAAAGGGCTCAAAACAGACAG